CCTCCCCACCTCCCCCCCTCCCTCTCTCTCACACACAAACACACACGCACACACACACATACACTTACTCATACACACACACACGCACAGACGCACGCACACAAAAAACCAAAACATGATAAGGAAACGATTAAGCATACACGTGATCTCGAGCATTTACCTTCCCCCCCCACTTTCCTCCTAAACCCTCTCGCCTCGCCCTCCCAGCCTCCCTCTCTCTCATACACACAAGAAAAAAAAAAAAAAAAAAGACAATGAAAAAGACGATCACGCCTTTTAACCCCTCTCCCCCCTTTCCCCCCTTTTCCCCCTAACCCTCCCCACGTGAAGCAACTTGTGTTTCCTTACCCACTTCATTCCGATGAAGCGATCAGTGTGGATCGCCGTGGGACCTTAAAGTCGTAAAGACTTAAGATCGTGAATAAAGATTTCTATAAGTGTAGGAAAATCCTTTCACTCAACGATTACTTCAACGAATTCAAACACCTATACCAAGTCAATACTCAATTTATATTTTTGGAAGTACCTCCGATGACACAATATAGCTTCGTCAGAGATAAAAAACCATGCTCATTTCTGCACATGTTATTCTCAATGGTGACTCTGCAATGCTTGACTCTTATAGTGTCCCTCTCACAAACAATAATCAATAGCTAAAGTATTACTGAATATTGAGTATCTAGTTAAAGGACGCAGAAAATTATGATGACCCTGTTCGTTACTGATATTTATGATTGTCGTACCTCACATTATTGGTTGTCGTACCTCATGTTGTGCTTGAATTTAGCAAACCATTTAAGCCTTTGCTCGCAGATAGACATGTTGGCGTCAGTCAACTTTTGTATTTTGTAGGATTGACATTCGTTTTGCCCCAGTGTCTGACATGGTTCTTGAAATGCAAGTGGTCGACTGTACATGGAAGAAGGAAAAAAAATGAGATATATATCAATTGTCAGTTAATTGTTTGCAACTTTGTTAAACCATCAGTACTTGGCCCAACTATCAAATCCGAGCCTCGACCAACCGGTAGTATGTCGAGCCTTGCTGAGGCTCGAATTATTGGGCGCTAACCTCCCAAACGTCCTTGGAAAAGAACAAGGGAAAAAAATAGAAAAAAATACACAAAGCAACGACAGAAAAACATGAAAAAAAAAATAACAACGGTTACCTCGACAGTCTATCTTTGCATGTTCATGCAAAAAATTCACTCTCATTTCATTTGTGTTAGAGAGAGAGAGAGAGAGAGAGAGAGAGAGAGAGAGAGAGAGAGAGAGAGAGAGAGAGAGAGAGAGACGACAAATTCGTTGTGGCCCAGGTCGTCGCCTCTCTCTCTCTCTCTCTATCTATCTATCTATCTATATATCTCTATCACACGCCGACGTTTCCATTGCCTATTCCCGAAACGGAAACCAATTCTCAAGGATTGGGAATGACACGCGTTTTTGATGGGCATGCACTTTGAGGGCACGAGTTGAATAAGTCAGATAAATGATCAGTATAGGTGATGAAATGCGAACTAGGGGAAAGTTATAACCTTGGTTAACATTGCGCATGTGCTGACCGCGAGCAGATTGACAGAGTTATGACCAACGTCAAGGTTAGTTGTCGAAATTCTCGAATGAGGGTGAAATACGCCGACTTGCCAGGGAAAGGCATTTGAACACGCCTAGTGTGAGGTATGCTGACTACTTAGTTGATCGTCGTCAACAGTAGACATTGCCAATAATCCTTGCGACAGTAGCACGAACCAAGTGTGGGGTAAGTAAAAACTAGGACTTTTCGACGCCGGACGGTAGAGATGCGACCTTTCAAATAGTATGGCGGATTGAGAAAGCCACGACCTGTGGTGGAATTGGGAGGTAGTGTCGGTCCAAAGTCGTAACCTATAGGGCTATTCCCGTGTCTCCGTAGTGTCGGTCCAAAGTCGTAACCTATAGGGCTAAGCCCAAGCCTGAACTTAGTGGGCGCAATTCTCTATATAAACAGTAACTGCAGCCAACTCGGGCATGTTGAAATGCACCAAGGTCACCGCTTGGCCCATCATCCGAGCCCATGGTCACGACGCACCTGCACTTGTTACTTTAGGGGGCGGTTTTCTCTCGCCCTTGCATCGTACATAGCCCAATAACATTTCCACCACAGGTCGTGGCTTTCTCAATCCGCCATACTATTTGAAATGATCCCACTAAGTTCAGGCTTGGGCTTAGCCCATACTGTTTATATAGAGAATTGCGCCCACTAAGTTCAGGCTTGGGCTTAGCCCTATAGGTTACGACTTTGGACCGACACTACGGAGACACGGGAATAGGCCTATAGGTTACGACTTTGGACCAACACTACCCACCGACGTGGCAATGAAGATTGAGGAGTTTGCTTCTCGCTTGCGAGATTTGAGAACTGATTGTAAGCAAAAAAATGTTGACGGAGGAGAGAAATGATCCGTTCGAAACACAACGTCGTGTGCAACATAGGACGAGTATGATTAAAGAGGAAAATGTTTATGCAAGAATGCGTAACACAACGGTCAACACCGAAGGGAGAAATAGACATGTGGGACGGGAGGTAGAGAGAGGGAACGAGAGAGGAACAGACACATCAGCAGGGGAAGGGAACGAGGTAAGAAGAGTCAGGGAAGAAGCACGAGAAAGAAACGAAGAGCGAAAAACTGTACAAAACCGTCGGCAAAGGGGAAAGCGGGGAAGAAGAGGGAATGAACAAGCAAGAATTTTTTTTGTGCTAGAACCCCTTCGACCGACGAACACACCAGTGAAAATGCCGAAAATCTACGAGGGTCCGTGTCTGTGTTTACATGCACATGCTGTTACATGGAAACCTCATGTGTATAGCAACTTGGCAACTGCTGTAAGAATGGCGGTTGTGTCAACAGTGAGTAGAGGTGCATCAGTAGAGATGTTGTTAACAAACGTAGACGAATATTCTGCCAAGTGGAAGAAAGTGCTGCCCACGAGGTATGACATAGCCAGAGAGGTGAATTATATAGAGGAAGGTCGATTTGCTTATTACGTAGAGAAAAAATTGAACGAGCGTAGGCAAGGTATGCCTTATCTATTGTGGAGGGGGTGGATGGCAGATGGAAGTGAAGAGGGAGCTACAGTTTTTTTAAAAACATTGGAGGACACCTATATTGAGTCGCAAGACAAGATCGCAATAAAAATGACAAAGTTGTGCAATATCTGGCAAAATTTAGTCGTATTTAAAGTATGCAGTTGACATCCGTATCTTCGATTGATCCCAGCGAAAACAGATCCGGAACCGAAAACATATTGTATATTTTATATCGAGGATGCGAGGGGAATAGTGACCACGAAAAGAAGCACCATATGTTGGCCGATTGCCACAGAAGTAGAAAAACACCTAGCAGGCAAGGAGGATGCGTGGGGTGAAATGCCAAAATTTTTGAAGGAAATGATTGAGACCACGCACAGTGCGATAAAGGGGCATGGATCTTGTTTTGATTTTTCTTGCTCTTTGTCTAGAGGCACATGGGGGGGGTTGGTAAAGTTCATACATCTAGATGATGTAGAAGTGAACCTGAATGTTTGGACCAATCACGATGGGGCAAGTTGTGCAAATTATGGTAAAATGCACTCACCCGTTCCTAATCAAATGTGAGGCACATCGTTTCACGTACGTATTGCACATGTGGATGATATAGAGAGGGAACAAAACAAAGACGTTCATAAGTTATATATGAGGATTGTTGAGAACACGATGTTTGTGGAAAGTGCCAGTGACAAAGTGTACTTAAACACATATTATGATGACGGTTTCGGGAGAGTTGTGGTAGTGTGTATGTTTGGAATGGAAGAACATATATAGATGTTGCGCGTGAGCTTATCGGAGGGGGAATTGCGTTCGTCCATCCCACATTATGCTTACGAACAGAACTTCACGAGGTGCAGAGGAGGGCAGTGAAAGCTGCTGGGAAGTTGAGAAATGAAATGATTGGGAAACTTGACACCGAGGTTGTCCCGGAAGAAAGAGGGGAGCAGGCATTAAACATTATTGCGAGATCGTGGTTTCGAATGCGGATAAACTTTTCAAATAGTTTGTCTTTGAAAGGGTGTGTAAAGAAGTTCGAAGATGATAGAGTCTTAAAGTATACCGAAGATGTGATGAATTTCGTGAATATAAATATGTAGAAAGGGATGGAACGTCCATGGGAGTTTAAGAGGGGGCGTTCGAAGCGAGAACAGAATACAGGAAAAACAACTCGAAGGCCGAGAGAGTTGATGAAAGCTTCGTGGGCGGCAAGTGACAATCGCAAACGAAGACGTGGTAGAATAAACAACCGGCGGCAGCAACGGTCTTTCGAAGGCGTGGGAGAGGAGGAGGGGGAGGAAGAGGAGGTTGAGGAAGAGGAGGAGGAGGAGGAGGTTGAGGACGAGGTTAGGGAGGAGGTTAGGGAGGAGGCCGAGGAAGCCGAGGCTGAGGAGGTGGTTGAAGAGGAGGTCGGGGAAGAGGTTGAAGAGGAGGCTGGAGAAGAGGTTGGTAACGAGGCTGTGAACGAGGTTGGGGAGGACGTTCAGGAGGATGGGGAGGAATTTGAGAAGGAGGACGGGGAGGAGGTTGAGAAGGAGGTTGAGGAAGAGGATGGGGAAGAGATTCCGGAGGAGAATGGGGAGGAGGTTTAAGAGGAGGATGGGGAGGAGGTTCAGGAGGAGGAGGAGGAGGTTGAGGAGGACGTAAGAGATGAGGTTAGGGAGAAGGTTTACAAAGCTGAGTTTGAGGAGGATGTTGGAGAAAAGGCGGTTGAGGAAGGGATTGGAAAAACGGTTGGGGACGAGATTGGGGAGGTTGAGGAGGAGGAAGGGGAGGAGGTTGGGGAGGGGGAGGAGGTTGGGGAGGCAGAGGTTCTGGGGAGGTTTGAGGAGGAGGTTGAGGTGATAGTTGAGAAGGTTGATGTAATTGTGATTGAGGAGAATATTGAGGAGGAGGTCGATGAGGACGAGGAGAAGAGCAGCGGAGAAAACAATACGGAAGATTGCGAGGAAGTGTGCAAGGAGGCAAAAGAGGATGAGACTATTTTTACTGAGGTTTGATGAAAGTTAATTGATGTGGGGGGGGTTGAGGAGAAAAAAGAAAGAAAGATGATAGACGAGGAAGAAGAAAGTAATATCAATGTATTGGAGAGACGAACAAAAAATGTAGCAGACAAAATGTTAAATATAAATCACACGAACGAGAGTTCATAATACGACGAATAACAAGGCGATATAATTATATGTAATTTACCGTTTGTGTATGAAAAGGAGGTTATTTTGAAGTGGGGAGAAAGGAGAAGCCGGACATAATAATAAAGTATCTGGAATGGAGCGGCGAGGCACGGGATAGGATGTACCATCATGTTGAATGATGCAAAGCTGAAAAGGATAGTTAGCAGGGTGAAAACAAAAAAAATAAAAGTATGAGCATGAGAAACGGCAGTTCAATCTGCAAAGTGTGGGAAACAAGTAAGAGAACGAGGTAAAAATATACTTGCGAATAATGATAATTTACGTGGATGTGTATTTGTGTATATCAATATATCATATGTCTACGAAAAATCATTTATATCTGTGATATAGTCTGTGTGTGTTTGTGTGTGTGAATGCACCATATGTTGTGTCGGAACTTGGTTATAATATATATCATGTGTGAAAAAATAGTAGGATTTTATATAATGGTTGAATGACTGGGAAAACGCGAAGGTTTTGTGAAATGTGGCATTGAAGGTTGAAATGAAAGATGAGGTAACTTGCATTTTTCTATGTTTAAACTAAGTATATTGTCAATGGTTAAAAAATACGCGGGTGTATATTAAAAGGAGTGAAATAAGTAATTGTAATGAATGTAGTTGATATCTTGTGAATGAAATGTAAAGAAAGCATGAAATATTGTGTGATTGTGATTGACATTGTTGACATAGACAAATGTTGGTCTATTGCCTCATGAAAGTGTTGTGGACGAAAGTCGAAATTAAAAAGACAGGAAAGGATGTGGTTTTTATGCTAAATATGAACAATGGAGAAACCATATTCCCGTTCCCTGTATAACTTGAAGTGTGTTAAACAATGGGTAAAACATGTTTCTGCATATCTATAACTTGAAGTGCGTTTAGTAGCAGCGCATATGTATAAATATGAAATGTTATATAAAAAATATAAAATGCATGTGCAACAATGATGTTTTCATATGCAACTGTAGAAGGGGGAGAAATACGAAGGGGTGGATGGGAAGGACGCAGGAAGGGGGTGAAGGGGAGTGAGGAATTTATGCCTTTACGGATATAATGAAGTTATAATGTGAAAGGGAAAAATTCGGCTGAGAAGGATCGAGCGAGCGCAGTGGCAGAGGAAAAACAGAAAGAATATTTGGGGTTGAAGTGAATAACGCTGTAATATGGGAAGAACTGAAGATTATTAGTCAATCGAACATTTACTACTCGTACAATGTGATTTGCAGGGTCGACACATGAATTATTATCACCCTTGGATACTGGTGGATGTGCGTAGTCCTTCTTTTATCGTTGCAGGTACCACAACTGTATTCCCTTACAGTAGTAATACCTCAAACGCGCAGCAGTTGTGTACATTTGAATTTGAAGTTCATGTGTTTGAATTTCAAAAATATTTGTTACGTTTTTTTTTAAGAATTCTTCTTCTTTATCTTTCTCCTTCTCCTTCTTCTCCACTGAGTGTCTTTTTACTTTTTCCTCATCGTCCTTGTCGAACCCCATCGCCACAGCCCCTTTCTCCTCCTCCACTAATATGTCCTCCTCGTGCTCGTCCTGTTCTTCGTCGTCCTGCTCCTCGTCCACCTCCTCATTTTATTTTTTAATTTTTGGCTGAAAAACTGGGGGCATGTAGTGGCGCATTGCCCCCGCCCGCGCGGAGTTCTCTTCCTTATTTTATTTTTTAATTTTTGGTTGGAAAACTATTGTCTTTGTTCGATTGATTTGGGGTAGGCGTCTTTCGATCGGACAACTGGGAGCCTACCATTTTTCTATGAAGTTTGTTGATGATCCCTATATGGCATTAATATATTGTTGAAGTCATATACTATTCTTTGAGAATTAAACGATAGCCTTATAATTTTTTATGCAATTTTAAAAAAAAACACGCAAAAAAGATTGTGGTATATTAAAAAAAAAAGTCCTTATGGACCTTATCCTCCTCCTCCTTCTCCCCTGACAGTTTTTTTTATTTTTCGTCCTCCTCCAACTGTTCTTCTTGTCATCTTCTACTTGTTGTCTTCATTTTCCTTAAAGATTCTCATGCGGCAGTCATATAGTACCTTGCATTTAAAAGTTTGTTCATTGTGGATCTTGGTACAGAAAGATATACTTTCAAGGATGGAAGAAAATTATATTGATTATAAATTGTAAAATAAATCGTTGTTGTGTGTGTGATGTCTGTGATCTTAGGTTCCTTCTCTGCTTTTTGCACCTCTCCGTCCTTCAAGGGCAGCAGTTGATACATTGCACTGTGCGTCTTGCTTCATTCATATTGTAGAAGAATAAGTGTTGTTGGTGGGTGCGTGCGAGCGTGTGTGTGTGTGTGTGTCTGTGTGTACGAGAGAGAGAGAGAGAGAGAGAGAGAGAGAGAGAGAGAAAGAGAGAGAGAGTTGAAGAGAGAGAAAGAAAGGTACATGTGTATATGTGTATGAGAGAGAGAGAGCGGGGGGCAAAGATGTAATTTGTGTGTCTGCGAGAGAAAGAGGGAGAGAGAGAGAGAGAGAGAGAGAGTTGAAGAGAGAGAAAGAGAGGTACATGTGTATGTGTGTATGAGAGAGAGAGAGCGGAGGGGGGGAAGATGTAATTTGTGTATCTGTGAGAGAGAGAGAGAGAGGGAGAGAGAGAGAGAGAGACAGAGAGACAGAGAGAGAGAGGAGCAAAGTGTGGATGTACAATATAGGTTGAGAAGTAGGTATAATTTCAGAAATAGACTTCCACACTCGGATGATCTTGAAATTTTGTGATCATAGAGCAGATTGTCCAAGGTTGTGTGTGTGTGTGTATGCGTGCGCGCGCAAGCGCGCGCGCGCGCGCGCGCGAGAGAGAGAGAGAGAGAGAGGAGCAAAGCGTAAATGTACAGTATAGGTTGAGCAGCAACTCTATTTTTAGAAAGGGACTTTTATACTTGGCTGTTATTAAAATGTTGTGCGGTACGGGGTTTAGGGATTTGGGGAAGGGAGGATGGGAGAGAGGAGGGAGGAGGGAGGGGTTGGAAACTATGGGAAGGGGCGAGGGGAGAGGATTAGAGTGTTGAGCCAGGGTTGGGACTTTTCTGAGAGGGAGCGAGGGGAAAGTGGCTAATGTAGCGGGTCTCAAAAGACGGGGGGGAACGTAATTGTGAGTGGGAGTGTCGCGCCGCCGGGTTATTTCCCCACTCCGAGTTCAGTGGCCGCTTGAGCTGTCGCATGCGACTCATGGTGCAGACCGGGAGTAATACCTCCCACAAACCTTTGTTGCTGTTTATCTATCTTTTCTAGATCCATTGTATTTGCTTGCTTATCGGTGATAAGCAACCGGACTGCCGACCCCCAGAATAGATGGGGCAAGTGTGTGTTTGTGTTGGAAAAAAAAAAAAATGTTGTGATAATGAGTAGAGAGTTGAGTGGTTTATGTGTAAGAGAGAGACAGAGAGAGAAGCGTAAGGCCTTTTTTGATTTTTTTGGTCGGGTGCGAGTAGAGATTCGAGGTTTTGTGGTAATAATGAAGTTAGTACAAGAATTTTGTTTTGTTTAACCGGTGTTGGTGTATTATTTGGCGGGAGGAAATATTGTTTTCGTATTCGGGCCACATAACGGGTGATCTCTTGTTTTATCTCTCTCTCTCTCCCTCTCTCTCTCTCTCATGCGTCGTCTCTCTCGCTCTCTCGCTCGCTCTATCTATCTATTTATTTCTCTCTCTCTTTGTTTCTCTTTCTCTCCCTCTCTCTCTCTCTTTCTCTCTCTCTCTCTCTCTCTTTGTTTCCCTCTCTCTCTCTCTCTCTCTCTGTTTCCCTCTTTCTCTCTCTCTCTCTTTGAGAGAGACACACACACACAAGCGTGTATTTCGGGGAATATTTCACAAAGAATTATAGTTATGTGATGAGTATGTTGCGTCACTCTCTTTTTTCGTGTGTGTGTCTTTCTCTCCCTCTCTCTCATTCTCTCCATGTCTGTCTCTCTCTCTCTCTCATTTGACTAAAAGTGAACATGGTCATAAAATTCATATGGCTTCGTAAGGTCCCTTTTTTTTATTGAAATCGTTTCCCCCATTTATATAAAAATAGACACGTTTGCACACATGAGTACCCATCCACGCCCTTCTTTCGATTCGGGTGTAAAAGGATTGGTCATTTCGTACCAGTGTGCGAACGGAGGTTCCACAAGGGCTTAGAGGAAACATGAGAGTTTTATGTAACTGCCCACCACCACCCCTCTTGTGTTTCCGATGTGACAGAATCGGTAGTTTCGTAGCAGTGTGTCCCTCTTGCGTTTCCGATGTAAAAGGATTGTTACTTTCTTACCAATGTGGCAGTAACGCGGGGTACGATGAAGTGGAAATGGGAGCGTGACACGTAACAGCCCACAGCTGAGTCTCTTGCATTCTCAACGCTAGGGGTAATTATAGTTGAACTTCATAAATGTCTTAAAAAAATATACAATATTAAGAAACTAATGTATTTAATTAAAAAGAACAAAACAGTAATAAAAATGTATATGGCTACCTTGGTTGCACTCCTTGGTTGCGCGGTAGTATTTTTTGCAGTCATTGATTTTTAGGAGTCCGTTGAATAATGTAATTGAGAGTGACAACATAATAAGGAATGTATGTAAACTCACCGAGGTGCATGTGGTTTTAATATTGTGTAGGTGCCGTTTTAGGGTTGTCGAGGACAATGGCAGGCCTTGGCGCCAGCAGCAGCCGCGTGATCCATAAATGTGTATGTTTTAAGATATGTGAACCGCTGTTGAAATTGAACGATGATGGCACGACAAATTTTATTGAGGACGATCTGACACGCTTTCCGCAGCAGCAGGTTGCGAAATTATGCTGGGCAATGCAGGG